AATTGCAAAATAGAAAAACAGAAGGTGGACTTATTTCAGCCTCTCAAGACCTCATCGAAGTCTGCATATCTATTTCTTTTGTGAACTAAGACACTTTTATCCTTAAAAATTCAAAAATATTTCATATTCCAGGTTGAAACTTAAAGCTTTCAAGTTCCTTCTTAAAGTCCGAGAGATGACAAAGGAAAGTTTTGTTTTAACAGTTCTTCATATTCAGAAATCCCACATGCAAATTTTAAACGAAAAGCTTTTAATAGAGAAGATTTGGTCCAATATGGTATCTTTATATTGTCATGCATTAAAAATTTGATTTAATCTTTGTTTAATAACGTTCGGATAGCATAAGATTGTTTCTTTTTTCCTACTTCAGACTGTAGACGTCTGATGTCTTTGCGGCCTGCAATTTCTTTTTCATTTGCATCCGTAATCTTTCACTTTTGAGTCATAATTTTTCCAATTTTTTGTACCGTTCATCCTCTTTTTCGTTACTAGCTTTAGAATTCTTCAAAGTCTAATCTTTTTCCTATCCTGCTGCAATGCTTCTGTCACGTCCCGTAGACGCCACGATTCTTTTCTTTCGAAAGACGGCTCCACATCGCGACTGACGATGGCATTTATGAGATGAGTGCAGTCTCCTGTCAAAATTTGAAAGAATTAGAAGGCCTAAAAAGCTTCCACGAAAACTCATAAATGCCACTCAAGAAGAAAAGAACAACAACGCCGATGCGAGGCTGGAAACGCTAGGCTTGCGAAATCCATATATCTGCGTCATACCCTAGCTGCCACCAGAGGCAGATTAACAATTCCATATTAGGTAAAACGCGGGGCTAGAAGCGGTACGATTATCAAATATGCCCATATAAGGAAATAGCAAACACCCAAGCCGAGGGTGACTAACAATTTCATATCAAGTAAAGATAAAGCTGGCACCACGTCGCGCCAAGACATAAAACGCTCCAAAGAAACCCCCATATTAACTTTATCCGGGACCAAACTTAAGATAGACAACGGTTACCCTGCATGAGAACATTCTAAGAAAACTAACTAAACATCACAAATAAGGTACCTGAGCCGAATAAGGCCCACCTAATTAATTTTATTTTTTTTAAATTCTATTTATGAGGATATTGAAATAAACAAAGTGAGAATCAAATCTTCATTTCATTTACTACCAAAAATAAAATATATTATTTATATAAAATATATGTAAATGAACGAAAAAAAATTTTATTAAACTGACATTGGGCCTTATTAGATGCATATGAATATAAGGGCCAAATCAAAAATAAATTAAAAATAACAAAGAAAGTAAACATTTTCTTTCGAAATCAGTTTTAAAATGATTGTTAATCATAGAAAGAAAATTCCTTAGGATTTACTCAGTAAAGTAGTAAGGGGGATTCTAATTCGGGAGCTTTGAGGGGAGTGAGGTGCAGGGGGGATCCCGCAGCGCGGAGAGGGGAGGAGGTGACGTCACTAGGCGAGGGGCTGACGTCACGGAGAAGGGGGAGGGGGATGCTGTCACAGTGGGTGACGTCAGTGGGTAAGGGGGCTGACGTCACGGGGGAAGGGAGGGGGTGACGTCACAGTGGGTGACGTCACTGGGTGAAGGGATTGACGTCATGGGGAGGGGGATGATGTCATAGGGAGGATGACG